TTATTCCTAATATTTTCAATTGGTCAACAAACTTGATTTGGCTGCAACCAACGTTGTTGAACTGCCTTGCGCAGCCAATCCGCAGACAACATGTTTTGTCAATGTTTAAGTTAAGTCCTGATGCTTCTGAGAATCTTTGCAATTCTTGTATAGCTCCTTTAACGCATTCTGTTTCATTCTTTAGGAATAAGATGGTATCGTCGGCATATTGAGAAATTCTTACTTCCGCACTGTCTGAAATTTTGATGCCGGTTACTTTTCTTGATTTCTTGATTTGTTGCGTAAGCAGGTTCACTGCGAGGTTGAAAAGGTAGCCTGAAGTCGGGTCTCCTTGTCGGATTCCGCAATTCAGGTATATTTTATCCCCCAAATGCCCGTTTACTATTATTCGGGAGAAGTTATCGTTGTTTAAAGGAAACAGTCCACTTTCCTGAAATCAGTATTTTGCTATTGATTTATGATTTTTTATGCTCAAAATAATCATGAAATAAAATAAAACCTTTTTGTAAAAACAATTATTTTCTATATTTTAATATAGGACGAACTATATTCTATGTAAAATAATGTTTGACGCGGAAGCTTATTACGCATTGACCAATCATCTTGCGTAGCTCAAACCTACGAATACTGCATTGGCTGTAAGCAGCACGCTGATTGGCTGACGATGACGTGGCTGCATTCCTGTGCAAGGCACGCATTCCTCTACAAGGCACTCTTTTCGGAACGAGAAATGGAATATCTTCGTCTAGGGTGATCGTTGAGCCGTAAAAGCTCCTGATTTGTGCTAGTCTCAGCTCAAGCTACGAAACTGCTATTCCAGCTCAAAACCCCATGTTAAAAGTGAACTATTTCCTTTAAATATAGAAGTTTAATGATTTCTATGAAATTTGGTCCAAAGTTGTACTGTTTTAACACTTCCAGTATCATCTCCCACGAGAGCGAATCAAATGCAGCTTCAAAGTCAGCAGACATAACTAACCCTGATTCTTTTCTGTTTGAAAGGAGATTTATCACGTCATATATTAAGCGTGTATTTTCACCTATGTATCGTCCTTTGATGTAGGCTGTTTGACATGGGTCTACTAGCTTTCCTATTACTTTTTGTATTCGTGCCGAGATAGCTGACGAAATTATTTTGAAATCAACATTCAACAACGTTATTGGGCGCCAACCTTTTAAAGTGTTGAGTTGTTTTCCGGCCTTGGGGATCATTGTTATGATCCCCTCTCGATGAGAAAGAAGGGTTTTGCCAAGTTTGGTACAATATATAAATGCTCTGTAAAGGAAGGGCCCCAATTTCTGCCAAAATTTTCTAAAGAAACATGCCGTATACCCATTTGAGCCTGGGGATTTTCCTTTGTTCATTTTTTGCATTGCCTGTGTTAATTCTTGGTAAGAGATTGTGTTCTCAAGGAGTGCTCGTTCATGTGTGTTTATTTTTTCATTGATGTTCTCAAGTGCGAGTTTTTCAACTACTTCTTTGGGAGCACTGTTTATTTTGTTAAATTTATGGGTTAAGTCGTTGGTGAAGGCCTTAAGGATTTCTGACGCTTCTGTAATTTTATGATTGTCAGAGATAAGCTCTGCTGGGCTTTTCCTCATTGCATTTCTTTTCTCTAAACCGAGGAAATATTTAGATGACCTTTCGCCTTCTTCGTGCCATCTTATTCAAATCTTATTCAAACTCTCGTCGCTTCTAAGTTGGCTCAGAACTCCTTCGGTGCGCGGGTTAATAGATTCATCTGTCAATTTTTAAGGATCGACATTCAAAATTGCTATTTTCTTAAAGATTACAGTGCTTAATATTTCTTTACATCCTTCAATTTACATGGATGGGCGGATGGACGGACGGATAGACGGCCTGACATACAAAGTCGTTCTTAACTTAAAGATTGCAGTGGTTAATAGTTCTTTTTATCTTTCAATCTTGGTAGATGACGACCTGGCGGCCACCTTGGTGATCGGTGGCGGCACGACGATTTCGGAGCTGCAGGATGGGCGCAACTCTGTGTCCGTTCACCCAGAAACCCAGTGCCTGGTCAGCGATGTGAAATATCGCCTCCCAAACAGTGAGATGAAGATGCTGGCTGCCTTCGCTGCGGCGCACGCTGTGCTATATTTGCCTTTTAGAGGGCCCAGCATGATCCTTTTTGAGGTCATATATGCACGGGTTATGAAGTTCGCGATTCCTCTTAGTGCGGCCGAGAATGCCATCCTTCGTATAATCCACTGTTGCCGATTCAGAGGCACCAGTGCAGTGGTCGGGTGACCGAGCAGGGCCCTGTTTCACGGCACGGCACTACTGTGCGCTACTAGTATCGCGGCATTGAGTTTCCATAGAAACATCTACAAACTTGGACGCTCCAACATTGAGAGCGTTCGAGTATGTGGATGTTTCCAATAGGAGCTCAGCACCGCGATACACGTAACGCACTGTAGTGTCGTGCCGTGAAACATCTTCAGTACCTATAGGCACTGAAGATGATGTGAGTTGAGAAGGCCTCAGTCAGTTTTTTTTTTTACGGAGTTTTTGTTGTCAGTGCTTTCCTAGTTCGTACACCTGTGCTTTGATTTCAGAGACCGTACGTTTGGTGTCGATACTCGTTACACGAAGAAATGCTCAGTTGTTTTTAAAGTACATGATGAAACGTGACTTAGTGACCTGATGACCTGTGCTGTGAATAAAATGTGATTTGTGCAGCTTGTGATATCCTCAGGGAAGTCAGTGTTGGGAGGAACCAATCTGTAGCAACCTGTGTTCTGTCGTTTCAAGTTATTTTAAATAAACAACACGTTGGAGAGATGCACCATAGTTGACTTTATCGAAAGTGCTCAGAAGACGACAGTAGATACAATCACGCTGGGGGATAGTTATGGCTGGCGATGTATATTTACCCAGTCGTATTTTTACTCCCTCTGGAAAAGAGCATACAATTATTAACGTTTACTTTTGTTTTGTATGCGGATTATAACGTGAGCTATTTTTACATCTTGACTTAAATTGTACACATTCAGCTTCGCAGCCCGCTGGTATTTCTACACCATGTCGCAAGGCGTAGAAATTGTTTTGGCTTAAATTGCACCGTGGCGTAAAATTATTATCGTAAATTACATGCTTAATTCTTCCTAACGCCCCTTTACACCCTTTACCTAGGGGTGTAAAATGAATTGATTTTGGGTGGAGATTTGTGTACCGTACTTTTATTCCGCAACGGGTGTAGTTCTAAGCTTACGAGGATATATTACTTACTACCGGGTGGCAGAATTAATCTCCAATTGTCCATGCAAACATCTTTTACTCTGGCATAAAATGAAGTTAAAAGGGGTGGAGATTTGTGTACCGTAATAATATTCCAATTTCAGGTGTAGTTTTTCTTTCAGCATGCTGCTAAGTGCTTGTATGCCTTCTTTGTCATACTATCAGACATAAATCATCGACAAAAACACTGTAATGATGTCATAAAATTAACCCGCGCCCTGCTGGGGTTAATGTAATGTTTGAAAGGTGAAGTTTGAACACCGTGTGTTCTTCGCAAATATCTCAAAAAGAAGGAGGCGGGGAACACCGCCGTTTTTGGCACACCTTATTATACATCAATTCTGCACGTGTTGTAAAAATATCAGACTAAGGTCATTTAAGCTCAGGTCACCAGGTCACTTGAAATGACCTCACCTCATAAAAAGTTTCGATGTCTGCCATAGCTACACCGAGTGACTGATCGTTTTGAATTTTCGGTGATTGCTTAGTGCAACAGCATGTACAAAATGTTTATCTCAGAATTTTGAATTCGATGACCTAAGATCAGGCCAATTTTGCGACCTCCCGATTGTAAGAAGTCAATGGGAAAAACTTGAAGACGCCTTTTTTGGATGAAAGTCATTATAAACACTCCCGAGCACTGACTTACAAGTAACTTAGACACACTAAACATGAAAATGGTATCCGTGACCCCCTGTTTATGCCCCTGAGGTCATCTCAGGTCGAGAATGGTATCTAACAGTTTTTCGCGAATAACTTTTTATGGAGGCATGCTAGAGCGATGAAAATGCCTTAGATGTGTTCAGCTCGACGATACTGATCGACTGATATACAAGTTGACCCTTTTCGGTCAGATCATGACCTTGACCTGAGGTCAAATTTTCAAGTTGACCTTTCAATGTCAAATTATAGTTCATTCGATGCGTCTTACCAAGAGGAACACGATGCCGGTAAAAGTAAACTCGTGCAAGGCTGAAAACAAAAGTTATTGCAGAAAAACTGTTTCCCAAAAAAGTCGGCTATTTTGGCAGTTTTTGTCCCCTGCAAGCAAAGCCGTTGGCGTTAGGTCAAATCTGAGATAAATATTCAGAAAGGGCGGTAATAGGAATGTCGAATGCGCTTTTCCGTGGCGCTGCATCTCTATTGGTTCCCGAGCTATGCTTTGGCTTCTGGGAAGTTGTCGACATTCGACCTGAAAATCGGCGAAATTTTGCCTTCAATGACCTCTGGTGACCTGACCTTTGACCTGACCAAAAAAGTGAGAAAAAAATTATTACGTCACTATTTTTGACGCTCTTTCGAACGCCACTTTCCGTGTATAGCTAGGTGGCCCAGGAGCCGATTTAGAAGGTGGGTGTTCAAACACCCCCCCCCCCCCAGCAAGGCGTGGAAATCCAGGACCCCCAGCGAGGCGCAGGTTAAACGAACTAGGTCTGCAATTTTAACATGTGTAGAAAAGATGTGTACGTGATTAAGTGTGTCAAAAATAGCGAATCACCATTTTTGAGATATTTGCGAAAAAACAAAACAGGGTCACATAAGTTAGTGTACCAGATTTATGGTACATACACTCCTTTACTTCAAGAATGGCTGCTTCGAGGGGGAACCTAGTCATTTTGTCAATGCCTTCTGAAGTGCAGCTATTATCAAGGTCGTGTGACTCTCGTACTTACTTCTGAAGTGCAGCGTCAGAAGTAGTTACGTCTGAAGTGTATCAAGGCCATGCGGCTCTAGTACTTACTTTGACAGTCGGTGGTGACGTTGACGGTGAGCACCTTGGTGTCGTTGGTGCTGGTGCCGCGTTCTTCATCCGTGATCACCATCCTGACCTGGTACGCTGTCTCGGCTTTGAGCCCACTGGCTGTCAGGATAACGTTACCTGAAAACAGCGCGAATACATGCGGTCTGGAAGCAGTCATGCCAAACACATAATTCCCTATGCTGTTCAGCAACTCCACGCATTGTTGTTGGAACCAGATACAATTATAATTGAACGATCTTTTTGGGGTCACAGCATTGTCAGATCAGAAGACGGATTAACTAGGGCGATCGACCAGTGTTTTCGGGTAGCTGTTTGGTTAATCGTGTGGTCCCTGTTTGGACCTGGGGTGACCCAACTACTGTTAACGCCAGACCCCTTGAGACCCTTATTTTTCGTGTTCATTTTTTAATGCGTGGAAGAATTTCAACCAAGCTCAGGACATGGCCGTTTCAAGACCTGCCGAAACTTTTACAATTTAGATATTTTGTCGCCATTTCAATATTTCAGGCACTTCTCATTGACTCGTAATGTTAAATTTCGAGCAAGATTTTCACCCCGTGTGTAGATAAGATCTCTATGGTGTGTAGAGGCTATCACCAGTCAGTCTGTGATACGTTATGACGTCACAGCTAAGCCCCGCCTCTGTGGTCTTGGCCTGCGGCGGTTTCGGGCCGGCGCGCGGTCACTCGCGCTGTGGCGGGGAGCGGGGATGGTCGAGCGGTGCCGAAAGCCGGCAGAGTTGTGCGTAACGTCTTTTCTGACAGTGCCAAAAGAGCGATATGATGAATGAGGAGCAATAAATGCTCAATGAGCATTGCTTGTACAAGGCTGATATGTTCGCGGATAGGTATTTGTTTTATCTTTATAAGCTGCAAATGACGGGCAGATGGCATATACCTGACACAAGGTTGGGAAATATTCACCTGTATTTAAAGCCTATGGCGTTGCAGATAATGCGATAATGGGATGTCGGATGTCATCAAGTAGCTGCTGATTTGTACATCGCTATGCACCCATCAACCAACGCAATACAATAATTAAGTTAATTGCCTTCGTTTCATATCATAAGGCCCGCTCGAATTTAACCAAGCAGATATCCTACATCGAAAATCGTATTTGTTAGGAATCGTTAACGTTTGTTCGAAGCACGTGTAAGTAGTAGGCTGAGGAGTGATTGTCCTCTTGGTCCTATACGAGTATATAAGAGTCAACAAGAGCCTAACATTTACTTGACCGTCTGCTGCAACTGATTCATAGCACGTGAAGGCTGAAGCGTCAGCGAAATTCATAGTCCTTTACAGATGGCAGGGGTGTCGTTTGTACAGAGGTCGCTGATGGGCACGGGTCAATGCCGCAGTCGTGGGCGGAGCCTAATGTCATATGACGTATGAAAGCCTCTATCCAGGATGGTAAAACAGTTAACATTACGAGTCAATGACAAGTGCCACAAATATTTAAGTGACAACAAAATGTATTTGAAGAAAAAGTATCGGCAGGTCTTAAAACGGCTATTTCCTAAATATGGTTGAAATTATTCCACGCATTTAAAAATAATCGCGAAAAATTAGGGTCTCAAGGGGTCTGGCGTCAACAGTAGTCCCTCGCAGCCGGGGCCTCTCGGCTACTCCCGGTCAGCCGGTGAAGGTACTGACTACTGACCGGTAGCCGGGGGCGGCCACTCCGTCTGGCCGTTCGTCCAGACCGCCGCGCTGCCGTCGCTCCTGCGGTACTGGATGGTGTAGCTGTAGGCGCCGGTACCGTACCCGTTATCGTAGTCCTCCCTCCACAGCGCATGGGTGATGCTGAGGTCGGTAAAGCCGACATTCACCAGCGCCGGTGGGTCGCGGAACCACGGCGGCACTGGAACGGCAAAGGTGCGGTAAGCTGCTGGAGGAGTGGCGCGCAACAGCAGCTCAACCAATGGAAAATATGCAGATATTGATGTGATCGTATTGTGAGCTTGGTGCTTCCTAAACATAAAAAAGTCTTTAAAATTCAAGGTAAGGAATCACTTCCTGTAAATGATGGTTCAAGAAAAGAACAATATCAAATTTCTTTCAATGAATTCGTTAAATTGTGCGCACAGCGTGACATTTCATTATCATGATCAGGAAACCTTCAAAACATTTATGTCAGATCATAGCTCCCACGCTGCACATGCCTCTCCGCTGCTTCCCGTGAAGAGCTCACAGTCCAGACCGAGAACTCACAGTCCAGATCGAGAAGTCACAGTCCCGACTAAGAACTCACAGTCCAGGGGGAGCGCTCACAGTCCCGACTAAGAACTCACAGTCCAGACAGAGCGGCGGCTCGAAGCCGTCCTCACAGCCGCTCTCACACTTGCCACTGGCGCCGTCGCAGCTGCTGCCTTCTCGACACCGGCCGCAGCGCGAGTTGCAGTCGGGCCCGTACGTTCCCCTGTCACAGGCTGCACACGGGGCGGATGACGTCAGAACTGACAAATGATGAACAGAATATGAACAGGCGTTCAACAAGCATTTAGAGACTTTAATGCCACACTCAAAGACAATCTTAGCACACGCAGAAACAGGAATGACACATCCAGAGACAAAAATAATGCGTCCAGAGACAAAAAGACACGTTTGGATACATACAGTGTGATGCCTTCGCCCCAGTGGGGGGGGGGGCATATGTTACCACCCTGTCGCGTTTTTCGCGTGTAAATAAGCCGCGCGGCTTGGGGTAGCTTTTTGTACATCAATTTTGGACAATGTGTGAAATTTTTGACCCCAGGTCATGTCAGGTCAGGTCACCAGGTCAAGTTAACTGACCAAGCCTAAAAAAAAGTTTTCAATCATGTCCAGCCTGCAGTGTTTGTCAGAAAGGTTTCAAACTTGGTGGATTGCATGATGTTATAGGTGCCTACAATTTGAATATCTCGGATTTTTTATATCCGTGACCTAAGGTCAGGTCAGTGGCGTGACCTTACCATTATAAGGCAATGGAGAAAAATGAAAATGCCTCTAGATCCGTGTGTACGCATAGGAACAGTCCAAATATTTCAGAATCACAATGATTTAGTCCACTCGTGATGACCAAGGTGTCATTTTTGCTGATAGCCTCTAGACAGGTCATCCGAGGTCACTTGAGGCTACAAACAGTTTTTTGCCAATAACTCGCGATTGGAAAGAGATAGAAGTAGAACGCTGGGGATGGTCTCATTGTGTTTGTCTTGTTGAGACGCATCGACTGATATGCAACATGACCTTTTCCGGTCAGGTCATGACCTTGACCTGAGGTCAAATTTTCGAGTTGACCTTTCAAGGTCAAATTATAGTTCATTCGACGCGTCTCGGCGAGGGGAACACGATTCTGGCAATAGAAATGCCGTGGCTTTTTGTAGTCAAAAGTTATCGTCGAAAAACACTTTTCGTGGCTGAGACCGCCACTGGGGCGCGGGTTAATAGGGAATCACCCAGTTCCCACCCTCAAAAAAGTTAACCCGCGCCGGGCCGGGAGGTGTTTGAACAACCCCTGTGGTTTTTCGCAAATATCTCAAAAACGGCGGCACAGAATGCCGCCGTTTTTGGCACAACTATTCGTGCATTTTACCCGCACGTGTTGTAAAAGTTTAAGACCCAGGTTACTCAAGATCAGGTCACCAGGTCACGCCAAGTGACATCACCTCAGACAAAAATAAGAATGCTCGTCATAGCTACACCGACTGAACGATTGTCTTGAAACTGTCAATGATTGATAGGAGTACGAGTATCTATAGATCGTTGATCTCGGAATTTTGATATCGGTGACCTAAGGTCAGGTCAATTTTGCGGCCTCTCCGTTATAAGTCAATGGGAGAAAATTGAAAAGCGTCTGTTTTGCACGAACGCTATTCTAGACACTCTCAAACGAGATGTAGGTAAGATTGACACACTGAACCGGAAAATGGCAACTGCGACCCCTCGTTATGTCCCCGAGGTCATCTCAGGTCACGAATAGTATCTAACAGTTTTTTTCACTAATAACTTCCAATAGAGGCATGCTAGAGCGATAAAAACGCCTTAGATGTATTCGGCTCGACGATGCAGATCGACTGATATGCAACATGACCTTTTCCGGTCAGGTCATGACCTTGACCTGAGGTCAAATTTTCAAGTTGACCTTTCAAGGTCAAATTATAGTTCATTCGACGCGTCTCGGCGAGGGGAACACGATTCTGGCAATAGAAATGTCGTGGCTTTTTGTAGTCGAAAGTTATTGTCGAAAAACACTTTTCGTAAAAACAGCTATTTTTGGAGTTTTTGCCCTCTGGAGGCTAAACCGTTGACCTGAGGTCAATATTGATAATGACCTTTTCAAAAGAAGAGTTCAAAAGCTATCGATTGCATTTCCATGCGTTGTTCTAGCTACCATAGTTCCTGAGATAGCGGCATGTTTTCTGAAAAATATAGTGACAATTGGCAAATTTTGACCTTTGATGACCTCTGGTGACCCCAATATTGCTCTAAGGTGAAAAATGACTGAAATACTTTCCAACGTACGCATTGAGAGCTATCGACTGCTTTTTATCGCGTCTTTCTAGCCCTCTTAGTTTTTGAGTTAGAGGTGGGTGGTAACATATGCCCCCCCCCCCCCCCACTAGGGCGAAGTTGGCTGAGACCGCCACTGGGGCGCGGGTTAACTTTACCTAGTGCATTGCATCAAACTGTTGGTGTGTTATGTGCTCATGTGTCTCAAATCGCTCACGCTTGCTACAGAAGGTATCCTTGTAGCCGGCCGCGCACCCGCAGCCGTATGGCTCTGGCACACACAGCAGTTGTTTGCTGCAGCCACCGTCCGACCCAAAGCACAGCGACGAACAGTTGTCCCCGAACCGGCCTCTGTCACAGCCTGAAGGTGAAGAACACTATCAAGACTCCTCGCGGTTCAGCGCGACGTCTCATGTTGAGAGAAAAAAAAACTGATCAGGGGTGTCGTTTTGTATAGGCCTGGTAGGGCCTGAGCCCTACCAATGTTTAATTGGGCCCTACCAAAATTTCCTGAGCCCTACCAATATTTTGTCAGCCATCACTTCACAAAAAAAAAAAGAAAAACAAAACAATAAGCAATTAAGCAAATATACATCTAAAGTTCTAACCACGGTGAGCTGAGCACATGTAGCTGGAAATTAGGTGTCATGTCCTGGGATCGAGTCTTTACAGAGGCGGATCCAGCTCAGAGTTTTTTTTTGGGGGGGCAAACCATAGCAATTTATCGATTCTTTCCATGCCTCGTCCATAGGCGTAATGTTATAATTACGCTGTTTGAGGGGGGGCAACTGCCCATTTTGCCCCCCCCCCCCTGGATCCGCCACTGAGTCTTTAGTCTCTGGGGCCGTATTCACGTCGACTTCGTAAGTCAATTTTCTTTCGTAAGTATAATTTGGTATTCATGTCGACACTTCTTAAGTTTTTATCGACGGAGTTCACGTGATTAAAAAATTTTCTTAGGAAGTAGGTCAAACTTAAGAAAATTCTTACGAAAATGATCGACGTGAATACGGCCCCTGGTGGATAAGTCTCCAAGAGGCTCGAAAGACCAGTGGTTTTAGACGGCCCATGGCTGCATCTGAGCGCCGCACACCACGCGACGGCCCCAAATAGATCCTGGCCCGTCTCCGAAACCAGCCTCTGAAGGCGCCGACTTCGGAGCGACGGAGGGTGCCGCGATGCTCCAGAATAGGCTATATTGATTTCAGTAAGTCATACACCCTGATGCCCGAGGGTCCAGCGCCAGGTCCTTCCATCATCAGATCACGAAAACTCAAACTCATAATAATCTAACTCTCATCCGTTTATTTTAGCAAGTAGCGTTAGTTGTCGAATTCTTCACTCAGCGTGGGCCTTCAAAGCCTTCCCTGGGCCCTTTCATCGCAACTATCCTATTTAGTCGGCACTCGGCGTGGACCTCTCAGAACGGCGTGAGTTCCGCTAACACTACAACGTGCCTTTAAAACTGCACGTTTTGTGCATCGGGTCCGGTGATGGCGTAGATTTCTAAGTTTTTTTTTAAAGATTTTAGTTTGTCTTGTCAGTGACCAAGGTGGAAAAACAAGTGGCCGAAATTCGATGAGAAAGGCAAATTTGGGGGTACCCTACCATGGGAAACCCTAGTCACATATGGTCGTCCGCCGCCCAATTGGGCCCTACCAATCATTTTCGGAAAACGACACCCCTGAAACTGATGCTTTCAATTCAGAAATAGGAAGCTTCCGAATGCAATTCGTGGAAGCCCTTGTATATTCCAACAATTGCTAAGGCGCTGTCAAGTCTGGATATTGACTGACATTCTTTTTTAAGTGCATTCACAAAGTAAGTAGATTCGTAAACCGCGTTGTTTTAGGGTTGCAACGCAATTGAATTTGAATTTGTGTACAATTAAGGATATTGATATTTCTCTATTCTCTATTTGATCAATACTACCAGTGCCGTTTCGTCCGGTCGACCTGAGTCGTGTCACTGAGAGTGCGAAACTCACTGATCTGGCAGCGGTCGCCGTAGAAGCCGGGCGGACAGACACACTGACCGGTCACGTCGTGGCACTGGCCGCCGTGAAGACAGTAGGGACAGCGCTCCCGACAGTCGGGCCCAAACCGGCCCGCCGGGCAGCCTGCAGGCAAACATGCCCAGAGTTTGACCGCCGCAGGACCCAACTCAGTTCACAAGTGGACGCATCCGTGGTTCTTATGACGTTTCTAACATGTGCGTTTTTCAGGGACCTTAACCCTCGCCGGCCGAGGGGGGGGCGGGTGCCGCCCCCCCATAGGGTTTTTTTCGCGATAGCTCCGAACACGCTGGCGATAGAGAGCTGAAACTTGGCATACCTGACCTTTGATCCAAGCCGCATCTTTTGACACCAATCGCATTTTTGGGTCAGGTCAGGTCACTGACCTATGACGTCATAAGTGAACCTCTGCACGGTCTTCAGATGTCGCAACTTCGCAACGCCCTCACTGCCAGAGGAGATGTCACAGGGAAATGAAACTTGCAGGATCTAGTATCCATTATGAGTCTCACAACTTGTATGTCTCAGATTTTTCCTAAAGGTCATATGAGGTCAGGTCATTTTCGTGACCTCACCATTATAAGTCAATGGGGAAAAATGAAAACTGCTATTCTGGCGCCGGGAACGATCTCAACTATTTCAAGCACACAGAATCGTGATTTGATGCACTCCTTGCAAGGTTAGATGCGTCATTTTTGCAATGTTGACCTTCCGTGACGTCATTTATGACGTCATCAAGGTCATATTAGTTTTTCGTCAATAACTCCCGATCAAATTGAGCTAGCGAGTCGAGAAAGTCACCAATGGACTCCAGAAGACCTGCCGAATCAAATGATATGCGACATGACCTATTTCGACCAACTTCGTGACCTGGGGGTGCTGACCTGACCTTGACCTGAGGTCAACACCCCAAGTTGACCTGACCCGAACAAAAAGTATATCATTCGACGCGCCTGAGCGGGGCGAACACGATGCTGCCAAAATCGCGGCTCTGCGGCCGTTTTTGCGAAGTTATTCACCAAAAACTCAACCGTACCCTGGGGCACTTGACCTGACCTCAGAGGTCACCGGTTGACCTAGGACCTTAAAATCGGGTACCAGTCTCTGCGTCTCGTAACGGCGCACACGCTCGTTTTTTCCGCGACGCGCTAGCTCCACCAGGGGCGAAACGGCGAGGGGGGGTCGTACCCGCCCCCCCCCCCCCCCCACCCCCTCGGCCGGCGCGTATGTAGAAAACCAATAGGTCCGGCGAGGGTTAACCTCCCTGTGTTTTTCGCAGTTAACTAAAAAAAAAATCAGCTACGAATTTTGAGCCTGGTGTGCTCAAGGGGCTCAAGGGGACCAAGCCGGCACCTCCTTATTCAAAAGACTGTCAATAAATATAAGGGGAAGGTGCATCAACCATTTTTAGTTGAGATTGTTGGCTGGACATACAATAGTTGAATTTAGATCATGCATTCAACAGCGCACACACGCAGTGCTTACCTCTCACAATAACGGAGAACGAAGATCTGCCGTTATCGTACCCTTTGTTCCGCGCTTCGTAAACTCCAGAGTCTGCTGGTTCGGCGTTCTCAATCATGTAGCTGTCGGGGCTGCGTGACTTTTGGGTGATCCTTTGGGTTGGGCTGGGGACAAGTAGTTAAATATAGCAAGGTATGATGCAAGACGTGTGTACTCACCTACAATAGCAGCACCACCCTCCAGAGCTTGTCGTTATTAGCCTTTGGGTTTGTAAATAAATATAAACACAATTTGCAAAAGAATAGAGAAAACACCTTGCATTACAAAACAGGCCAAAGTTAGGCGCTATTTTCAGCTCAACTGTTGCAGGAAACGCACAGAATAGATAATAGCCGTTTTCACGACGGCCATCCGGTACACATTTGGTGCACATCTGGTACAGACTACAGATTAGGTGCAGATTTGGTCAAATCAGGTTCAGTGTGTCTTTTCGAAGCTATCAGCAAGGGTTGCACTAATTGCTTATATGCCTGCTTTGTCATATTATCAGAGAGCATCATCGATTAAAAAACTGAAACAAATTCATAAAATGAACATATTTGCTGTAAAAGAAATTAGGTGCAGATTTGGTCAAATTAGGTGCATTCGCCGGATAGCCCGTCGTGAAAACGGCTAGTAACTTCCTGGTGACTGAAGCGAAAATTATGCATAAAGCACAAAGGAACAGGAGCACGACTAATTGTTTATTCACCTTCCGTCCTTATACCAAACGATGTTTGAAGTTACTGTGGAGTCCACTCTGATATGTATTCCATCACCACGACTGGCACGATACGTGAGACGAGTAGGCGCGTGGTAGGCTGAAATAAGTATGTTTTCAGCCTTAAATAGGTGTCAGCACTGTTTTAAAGGAAATAGTTCACTTTCACGAAATTATATTTTTTGCAATGGATTTATGATTTTTTATGTTCAAAATGATCAGCAAAGAAAATAAAACCTTTTTATAACAAAATATTATTTTCTATATTTTTGATATAGGAAGAACTTTTCAGTTTCTGTAAGGCACACGCGATCCAGTATGAAAAGAGCATGGGTCCCGAAAATTCTTCAGAAGCTAGAGAAATTATCGCGGCCACCGGCATTTGGGCGATCTGCTCATGCTTTTGTTACTGGAGCGCCTCTGAAGAATTTTCTGAATAATTTTCTTTTGTTACTGGAGCGTTTCTGAAGAATTTTCGGGACCCATGCTCGTTTCATACTGGATGCAAATATATGCAAGGCACACAACCTCAACGCAAGGCACCTTTTTCGGGACGAGAAATAGAATATCTTTGCCTAGGGTGATCGTTGGGCTGTAAAAGCTCCTGATTTATGCTCGTCTCAGCCCAAGCTACGGAACTGCTATTCCAGTTAAAAACCCATGTTAAAATGTGAACTATTTCCTTTAAGAGACAATAGAAAATAATAGAAGAAATGACCCTATTCTCGCTTTTGCTGAGAAGACAGATCTAAAAGTCTAATCACGAGAATCTGAAGCTTTTGGCTTTGAGCCTCTGTCAACCCGACGGCTTAATTGGGTGACCTCTTATAGCTCCAAGAATCTCAATGCTCCGCGTAAAAAAACTAAGCCTTCTTTGCTTAATTTCCCGCCCAGCGCGGTAGCATTTGGCATAAGTTTTTAGCTAGCCAAACATATCAGGAAAATATTTGGAAACCTATAATTGGCTGAGCGAAAAAATGTTTAAAACGTTGCAATGTCGGTCATGCGTCTATTAGCTGTAGCTTTCAACATGGCTTAGTGATACTTACGGTTCTCTATGTAGCTAAAAGCGGTTACATCCGAGTAGAGTTTATCTTGTAAGGAGCATAGCACCCTGTTGCCGGATGTCACCCGAGCCTCTCGGAAACTGCTTTGAGATTCTATCGACATACACACACATCTCTAACTTTCAAAAGCACACCAAGGAACTCAGTGCCTGAACAGAACATGATCCATGAAGGAATGCGAGAAAATTGAATCTACAGGGTGTCCCAAAAGTTGTTTACATTCTTTTACGTCCAATAAAATATATAAGTGTACTGGTGTTCACACCTCACAAGAAGCGCCGTTCAATTTAGCATATACCATGAAACACGAAAGTAAAACACGAAAGTATATGTTTTCAAAAAATAATAATAATAATGATAACAATAGAGCCAATTAACAAAAATGCTCGACGATTCAATTTTAGCCGACCCGCAAGCTCAACCAGGCTGGCCGCTGGTTCCCAGATCATTCGGGTCGTTCAGGCTACAAGATAAACCGTACATTTGTTATGTATTTTAATATGGTTAGTCCTTAACCCTCTAGTGCCCCCGGTATCATATCTGTAAGTCAATTTGCAGAAAATTCGCCTGCTAATCATAGAGGTGAAAATTGTTGAAAACCCTGTTGTATCAGAAGTGGTACGTCCTGGCAACCACCTGGTGGCAAAATTTTTAAGTAATGATTTCTCAGTTTCCCACCAGGTGATTTTGAAGAGGGTCAGTTTGTCCTTTGCCGAAAATCAATTTGAGATGCAAGTGTAAATTTAGGCATTTAGAAAACAAAAAAATTAGTTATTTGGAAAGAAACTTGGTATACTGTGAGACAAATGTTCAACATATATCATAGTATGTTGCAAAACATCGCAACTTTTTCAGGGTCAAAGATATGGACCCCCATTTTTGGGGATGCTATATATGATACAGTGGGCATAGCACTCCAATATTTTCTATGAAATTTTCGCCGCTGCAACATACGGTGTGCCAATACCATAGTTTTCTCAGGTGATAAGCATTGCAATGGCCTGTGAGTCATTGCAAATGACGATGGTACAAGATGCATAAATTTGTGAAGTTCGCACCTCTTGCGCCAGATAACTCTATTTCGCTCCAGACTTAAAATGTCATAACGATATTGGTACGCTTATGCCGCCTCTCATCCTTGTCAATCTTCCAACATCTAGCTTTCTATGAGTGGCCTTACATGCCTCATACGTCTCGACTTTTCTAACGCTCATAGGAATCTGGTTTTCCAACTGTTTGACGATGACAATAGTGAACTTTTTGATCTGCAGGACACTAGCAGACCATATCTTCTTAACCACGTTAGGAATGACATGCTATCGATGACAAGCTTGTTGATTTCAAGGAACGATTATCCGTGCGAGCATTTATACTCGTGAAACCAAAAATTGAGACTTGATGTTAGGGACAGGAGGATTTCGCGGTCTCTTGCACAATTTCGATATTCCAACAGGGGTTGTGGACGGGCTTATTTATGTCTTGTGGGTCTATGTGTTATCTGGGCATGGCTGAAGACTTGCATTAGCAGCCAGCCAGCATTTTTCATTCATATTGGAGAACGACTCACCATTTGTTTGCGATTCAAATCTCCTCCGTTCATCCCAGTATTAAGAGGTTGAATGTGGAGTGGAAAACTATATCGTCATCTTCAGAGGAAGCTGGCTAAACGGGCTCGCCATGAAGACAGACTCCGGACCGAAGGGCGTGGTTCCTTTGATTTCCTATCTAAGAAGTAGGCAACCATGCACTGCTGCCAGGTTCCAGCAGGTGCCTGACACCTGGCAAGCATTTTCACTGCCAGGTATGTCATTTGTTGTCATATATTGACATATACCGCCAACTGTGGTAGCTGAGTGCCACTGAACAAAAAGGATTTACATATAGGTACTAAAACATGGATACTACTTTTGTACTGACCATAAGAACCAGTATAACGCCTTATGGGGCGACTAACGGAGCGAGCGAGAGGTTGAGCCTTGCACGTGCGAAATTTCGAGGGGGTACCTCCAACTGACTTGTGCACGGCACCCTACTCACCGATCTCTAGCGATGTGCCAAATTTGAGCACAATCGGCCCAGCCGTTCTCGAGATCTGGAAGCGGCACCCTGCACGTGCGCACGTGCAAAATGGGTCCCAACTGACTTGTGCACGGCACCCTACTAACCGGCCCCTAACCGCGTACCAAATTTGAGCGCAATCGGTCCAGCCGTTCTCGAGATCTGGAATCGACCCCTGCACGTGCGCACGTGCAGCAGCACCCCAACTCTGGCACATGGATATGCAGTGCCTAGTGGGTGCCTACCTACATGCCAACTTTCAGCGCAATCGGCCAAGTAGTTACCGAGATATTGCAACAATTACAAAACTGACACCTCTTCGTTTTGCACGTGGCACGTGCATAAGGGGTCACCCACATGCATAGGGAATAGTCCAATACTTGGTAGAAGGAATGAAGCTACCCTACAAAAATTACCGCGTGTAAATCGGTCAAGTGGTTGCTGAGATATAAGCCTCGCAAAAGCGTCCGCACGGCCGGCCGGCCGGCCGGCCGGCCGCTCATACTCAGAAATTTCCGTTATTCTACGTAAGACTCCGCTCGCTTCGCTCGCTCCGTAATAAAAGTTTAAGTGCGGCATTGCGTAATGCGTATGCTCACCTCCATATGAGGTCAATGAATATTGTGCAAGTTCCTGCCGATCGGTGCACAGTTACCTGTACCTTTGTTGTCTGACACGTACAACGGTTATTGCACTGGTCAGTGCGCGGCTGTTATACTGACGCCGATGACATCAGGACCGCACGACCAGTCAAAATACTAACTGACGATTCACAGGCTGAGAGTTTCAGTCACCCGAGATTGTCCGGCTATCATGAAGATAAACCAACATCGTCTTTGGCATTGATCCCGGTCCGTCGGCACGCTGTCCAGCACTTTGTATCAGAACTGCTTCACTTCAACCACTTACCGCGAGCCAACTGTAATGTCTTCATTTCTATATCAAGTATGCATAACGCATCTACGTTTGAGAAGCACGGCTCACATGTCTAAATTATGAAAAAATTGCACAGGTGCAACGCGCTGTATCGTGGAAATTGAAGGAATAGAAGGCACTCGTAAATAGATGCCTATGATTAGCGTTGTTCCCTGAGCACCGACGGAAAGGACATTTTGATACCAGAAGGATGCCAATGAAATATTAAGAAAATGTTCTGATCAAAAGTGCACAGTAAAGGACGTCTTGTTGGCATTTTACACATTTTAACTGCCACTTTTATTACTGAAATTCTTAATAACATATATTTTCTCATCTATGTCTTCACTTCCTTCTGTGTGGTCTGATACCACTAAAAATTACCAAGTGGAATGCCCAATGTATCATATTTGATGCAAAATTTATTTCCGAAATTTGAACTGCGAAAAAAATTTTGACTCCAGATTTCGAACAAGGGACCCAAAATGAATCATACGTCACAAGGGGCTAATTTTAGGAACCGTGGAACTATGTGTGGGCATTAGAGGGTTAAACCATGTCTCTTCGCAAGGAAAGTGGTGTTTGTGCCAGTTTTGGCCACGTTTTTGCCGTGCCTGATGACGCCTAGTGCCGCCAAATAGGGCCTCTGACCTGCTTTCAAACATTTTTTTCTCGGTGATGCGCATGTTTTCTGGGAAACGGTTAGCCGCTGCAATATGTGACCTTCTCAGTACTTGAGAGACGCTCTTTTGGGCCTTCACAACCTGTTTTACTGGCATGCTATGAAGTTCTGTCAACGCATCAGCGTAAACTGCGCCCCAGGCCATCACCATTCACCATTGTTCAGTTCCTTACTGCGTGGACGGAGGATATTTAGTCGCGTTATTTGGTCTAATTACCATTGAACTTAGCAGTAAGTTTATAAGTCTGATGGCCAATAGTCGCAAACCAAAATGATAATTAACCCGCGCCCAAGTGTGGGGGGGTGTTTGAACACCCCCCCCCCCCGTCCAGTTTTTCGCAGATATCTCAAAAACGGCGGCGCGGAGCGCCGCCGTTTTTGGTACATCTTATCATACATCAATTCTACACATGCTGTAAAAATTTCAGACCAAGGTCATTCAAGGTCAGGTCACCAGGTCACTTGAAGTGACCTCACCTCATAAAAAGTTTCAATGTCTGCCATAGCTACACCGAGTGACCGATCACTTTGAAACTTTCAGCGATGGATGAGGGTAACAGTATCTATAAAATATTTATCTCGGAATTTTGATATCGGTGACCTAAGGTCAGGTCAATTTTGCGGCCAAGTCAATGGGAGAAAATTGAAAAGCGTCTGTTTTGCACAAACGCTATTCTGGACACTCTCAAACATCGAGATGTAGGTAAAATTGACACACTGAACCGGAAAATGGCAACTGTGACCCCTCGTTATGTCCCCGAGGTCATCTCAGGTCACGAACAGAATCTAACAGTTTTTCGCTAATAACTTCTGACAGAGGCGTGATAGAGCGCTGAAAACGCCTTAGATGTGTTCGGCTCGACGTTGCGGATCGACTGATATGCAACATGACCTTTTTCGGTCAGGTCATGACCTTGACCTGAGGTCAAATTTTCAATTTGACCTTTCAAGGTCAACTTATAGTTCATTCGACGCGTCTCGACGAGAGGAACACGATGCTGGCAAAAGTAATGCCATGGCTCTTTTGAGTCAAAAGTTATCGCCGAAAAACTGATTTTCTTAAAAAATGGCTATTTTTGGAGTTTTTGCCCTCTGGAGGCTAAACCGTTGACCTGAGGTCAAATCTGATAACATTATTCAGAAAGGTCTGTAAAAGGGCTATCGAATGCGCTTTTCCGCGGCGCTGTAACTCTATCGGTTCTCGAGATAGCCGTTGGCAGTTTCCAAAATGTGGAAATGGTCAACATTTTACCTTTGGTGACCTCTGGTGACCTGACCTTTGACCTGACCCAAAAAATGACCGAAGTGTTTTCGTCCTTATTTTTGACGTTCTTTCGATTGCCGCTTACCGCGTGTCGCTACGTGGCCCAGGAGCCGAGTTAGAAGGGGGGTGTTCAAACACCCCCACACCAGGGCCTCGTTTCATAAAAGGAATTAC